AGTGATTCGTCAAATAATTTTACTAAACAAATCTGTCAAACCCACATGAAATAATTGGTCTAACATTTGTATTCGTTTTTTTCCTCCCTCTTCATTCATTGTCTAGCATCTTGATCACTACCTAATGATTGTCAGTATTTCTGGCTAGCTCCTGATGAACTATAAATGTTACACTGAAGTTCGATGTTGCTTTTAATTTGCCCCTCAACTAATCTGCTCAGTGTAAATAAGGATCAATCTATTCCCCTTTTTAGTTTCCAAAAGTCCATGTTTTTGTGTCTTTTTCTGCTAGATGATAAAGGTTTTGCAGTATAACAACCCTCAAAGTGCCAGTGTCTTTCTACCACCACCAGAGGTCTGTTTTATTTCCTATTATTGCCCATGATTGTGTGTTGCTGTGCACATTCAGCTGTGCCTTAGTGGGTCCAATAAAACAGAGGTGCTGCTTACCTCAGACCCAAGATTAGTGGTAACATGTACAACCACTGTGATTATACGTTACTACTTTAAAGAAATCTAAATGTGTAAACATCTTGAATGACTGCAGCAAGAGTGTCTAATGTGTCTAATGTCCACATTGCTTCCCACCAGGATTCCCAGGACAGTTCGGATGGCATCCCATCTGCACCCCGCATGACGGGCAGTCTGGTGTCCGACCGCAGCCACGACGACATCGTCACCCGGATGAAAAACATAGAGTGCATAGAGCTAGGACGTCATAGACTGAAGCCCTGGTACTTTTCACCGTACCCGCAGGAACTCACCACATTGCCCATCCTCTACCTCTGTGAATTCTGTCTCAAGTACCTCAAAAGCCTGAAGTGTCTCCAGAGGCATTTGGTAAGAATCATCAGTATGTCACACCATCTTAAGCCCTTTTGTCTCTGTGCCACAACATTTCTCTCATGTTCTTGTATCATCTTTGACAGACAAAATGTAATCTAAGACATCCGCCAGGCAACGAGATCTACCGCAAAGGCACCATCTCATTCTTTGAGATTGACGGCAGGAAAAACAAAGTTAGAGATAAGAGATTTTTCTCACTCCTTTTAACATTTTTAACATTCACTTGTTTTTTAATTTTGTTTTTGGCTGATAAATGTTTGTTTTATTTTTCCAGATGTATTCCCAGAACCTGTGTTTACTTGCAAAGTGTTTCCTGGACCACAAAACCTTGTATTACGACACAGACCCTTTCCTCTTCTATGTAATGACAGAGTATGACTCCAAAGGCTTCCACATAGTGGGCTACTTCTCTAAGGTACATGCATTATGCAAAGAAGATTGAACTGCTGGTACCGCTTGGAAACAGTCCCCAATCCAACCAGTGGTTCTCAAAACTAAATAAAATGTTTATTTTCTGTGCACAGGAAAAAGAGTCAACTGAAGATTATAACGTTGCCTGCATCCTGACCTTGCCTCCTTACCAGCGGAGAGGCTATGGCAAACTGCTCATTGAGTTCAGTAAGTAAAACAGTGGCGCAAAGATCAGTAGATATTTGTACATTCATATTCTTTGGGCATTTTCTGTGCTTTTACTTATGCTAATTATCTGTTCACTGTGTTTGTGTGTGTTTGTCAGGTTATGAGCTGTCCAAGGTAGAAGGGAAAACAGGCACTCCTGAGAAGCCCCTTTCTGACCTCGGCCTTTTGTCCTATCGCTCCTACTGGTCCCAGACCATCTTGGAAATTCTCATGGACCTTAAACCTGACAATGGAGAAAGGCCGCAGATTACCATCAAGTATGTGAATGTTGTCATTTTATCTCGAACTTTAATTGTTTCCTGAGAATAATTGGGTAGCAGTTAATTCAGAACAGCAGTTTAATGACCCTTTTTTAATCCTCCAGTGAGATCAGTGAGATCACAAGTGTAAAGAAAGAAGATGTCATTTCAACGCTTCAGTACCTCAACCTCATCAACTATTACAAGGTGAAACACCAAGGCAATATGCGATGCCAGAGTTCACACAGCTAATATAATACACACAGAGACATGTTTGTTTTGATCTAGTGGCATTCTGTCTAAAATGTTGTTGTCTCTTGCCTCTAGGGTCAGTACATCCTGACTCTTTCAGAGGACATTGTGGATGGGCATGAAAGAGCGATGCAGAAGAGACACTTGCGCATTGATCCAAAATGCCTTCACTTCACACCTAAGGACTGGAGCAAGAGGGGCAAGTGGTAGAGTCCCAGCCTGGTTTACTGAAAACACTCCCCAACCGCCAGATAGCAGACTCAAAGCAAGTGGTGGATCAAGTAAAGGTTTTTGTCGAGCTATGGCATTGAGAACATCGAAACCTTTTTGAACCCAGGACTCCTCTTCAGATAAGAAACAAGGAACATAAATTGTCACCTGAGATGCATAACACTTTTATTGTGAATATTCATTATATATTGTGCGTTTATAAAGCTGTTTGTCTGGGGACAAAAGAGAGACTGGTTAACAGTGACTCCGCCAAAAAATCCAACACACCTTCTACTGTGTAAAAGATCCTGTTTATGACCGACGGTGCGTTAAAAGTGACATAAGGTGTCTGTTTAATAGTGTAAATTAAATGCTAAGATGGCAAACATACAGACCACCTAATAAAAGCAAGATGTTGGTTTTATAGATAATCGTTTGAGTTCTACAGTGAGTTGCCTCATTTTCACGAGTCTGCATTCTGTAAAAACCACAACCGGGATTTCTTTTCCTTAAATTCAAAAAGGAAAGTGGTTTTGTTTGTTGTTCCTAGCTTTGGCCAAGACAAACATAAGTGTTATTGTCTAAATCCTTTGTTTCTGCCACACACAGAAGAGTTAAAATGTTGTCATCAGAATAATTTATCACTTTAGTTTTTCACACAACTCGTATTTAAGAAACCGTTCTTGACGGAAAATATACTTTTAGCATTTATTAAACAATTGGACAACTAATGTCTGAACAGCACTCCACTTTTTAATCATCACTTTCTACTTTTGAGTAGTGACTTGTACAAAGTGTACAGGCTTCAAAACATCTCAAGTGCATCTTCCTAGATACACAAGTTTAAATGTTTAGCCACTGATACACAGGCTGTTTACATTTACATACACATTTAACAGTGACTCAGTGAGATATGTATAGTTTGTAAACAAGGAAAAAGTATAAGGAATCCAATATTCAGGTCCGTTTTGGTAGTTTGATACCTGCCCATTCAAATTTTCATTTCAACAGTCATTTTCATTTTATTGTGATTTTCCTCGAGTGCCTGAATTTTAATGTCCAAACTAATGGAGAACAGAAATGTCCTACTGGTTTCCTGTTAGAGGCTTTAGGTTATTAGTCTCAACTAATGAATGAAAATTTTCTTGTAAAATTAACTATTTAAAATGTTTGGATGCAGACAGAAAATTCTAAATAAGACATGAAGACTTACAGTTATAATGTTTCTTAAGAACCAACATGGTCACTTCAGGTTTGTTATCTTTTACAGTAGTAGCTTTAGTTGGACAGATTTATGATCTACTTTTTTGGGGGGGATGATCATTCAGGGGAATATTTCAAACTTTTTTCACATAATCCCCTGCCATGACCATCTGTACAGTGTGCAAAGAGACAAATCAATTCCCCAAGTTAAACATGTTCACTGTACCCGTACATACTGAACCTGATTGTAAAAAAAAAAAAAAAAGAAAGCTTAGAAGACAGAAGCCATGTTGAACTGTTAGAGGAATGTAAATTATGTGTACAGTTGTCTTTTTTTTTTTACTTAATCTAAACTGGCAGCACAATATCAACAGGAAAAGACAAAAGTAATATCTTTCGTTCAGTTAGTGTTTTATGTTTACGTGTCAGTGTCACACAGGATGTTGAATTGACCCTGTTGAGATGATTTAGTGTATCTTCAGTGAAACACAGTTGAGTTTGGTATGAAAGGCTTGTTGAATTGATAAAAAAACATCTTGAAAACCTTAAGTGTTTTAAATGTGTCTTCAAAAGTGGCTCTTTCCCCGATCAGTACACACCGTTTTTATTGGCATAGAGGCCTGAGAACTTCAACTGTATCTATATACATGATATATACACATGCACACACTGGTAAGCTGTGCAGAGTATAACTTGTGGAAATATACACAAAGATGAAATCAATGCAAGTTACAACATACAGTGGAAGTGCAGGTCATACATGCCATTCGGCCCCTTTTTTAGCAAGTTTGTATTACAGTCACCAGGGGGCAGCATTCTGAATCTGCCTGCTTGTGTGTGCAAAATTACATTAGCAAAGTTGAAACCACAGGCGAAAATTCGGCACGAGGGATGCTTGGTGAGGGAGAAATGTAATGCAATCTGACCACTGTAACTATATTACTGGCTGTGGTACATTTGAACAACACCTACAGTGGATCAAATTTGGTTATCCAAGCTACAGGTAGATGCATAATAACTGTCCAAATATTATGCTAAGCTGAGTAAGTAGCTGGAAGTCAATGACTCACGAGTTTAAAAAAAATATATAATTTTCCTAGACTAGTTAAGTTCATGGGTACTGCTGAGCCACACCCTTAAGGTCAGGTAGTCAAAGGTCAAGTACTCTGGACTGGCCTAAAATAGACACTAAGCCACATAAACTAACTTACAGTAGGTGTGTGTAAAAGCCTTTTGTCTGGGGTTTTACTAATCTGTTAGGTTTGAAGGTCATTCTTTAGGCTACTGGTTTCTATTTGGATCACCACGTTTCCTCATTTGCAATGATCGGCTTAAAATGAGTCTGCAGGTTGGCAGTGCTCAGGCCGGCTGTTTAACTTCTCAGGTTTGAATAATCAGACTCTACTCAGCCTGACATTTGGCTGCACTGCAGCTCTGGTGAATCCTCCTCCTGCCAACATCCCATCACACCCATTTTCATTCTGCACCTGGCAGATCCGCACCAGTCCCCATGAGGACAGAGAGGAATTTCACACTAATATCCTCGCCACATGACTCATTTGGGAAGTCTTCCTGACATTTAGTAGGCTACGTTTCCTCATCCTGATTCCTGACTGATGGGACATTCTGGTGTTATCTGGACCTCTGAGATCCAAGTAAATGTTTTATTTCTGCCTTCAGGTGTTTTCACTGAAAAAGAAAATATTGGTACACTAGAACTGAAACATTGTTTAGATGAACAGAAAATGAATGCAACAAGCGCAACAAATAAAAAATGTCTGGTTTCACCTTGTTAATGTGATGATTGGCTAAATATTAATATACATAATATATTATAATATAAATGTGTCACCTTGATCTATTGGAAATTGTGACCAGTTTATAGACAAAACAATTAATAGATATTGATATTAAATGGTATATTATTTTAAATGAAAATAACTATTAGTTGCAGCCTTAATGTACAATGTTGAAGCCAATGCACAGAATAGTGGCTCAAATTGTTGAAAGCTTAATTAAATACAATAATTCATAGCTTTCAATTTGGAGAAAACAAATGATATATGGTGTGAATCTCTGAGAGGAAACTAAAAAGCATTCTGGTTGAACCTTGACCACTCAGAATAGCTTATTTTCTGCCATTGTTTCAAACCGCTTGTCTCCAGCATGTGATGTCTCACGAAATGCAATATGTCATAAGAGGGACAAAATAAAGACAAATGTGTTCATCTGCAGAGCTGCAAGCATTGCAGGAGTCTTGGTGGAACATTTCCACATGGTGTCACTGTAGCACTGATTGTTTTGGTGCTATTTCACTTACAAAATGACCTCTGAACAGTTTGAGAGGCTCAGAGCATCACAAATCATGTTTCAGCACTGAAATATATACACCATAAATACCAGTAAGTCAAGTGCAGACTATATATATAATATATATATATTATATAATGGTATCAACATGGGATTAAATCTTGGATTTTAGACCAGTAATACTTCATGTGGGTAAGATATCCATGAACGTCACATTATTACATGGAAATGTTCGGTGATATTTCGCATGATTTGAATATTTGAACTTTCTAAATCACCTGTATGTGAGGTAATTAGTTAGTTAGACATCTGTATTGTCTTAATTTTTATTTATTTATTTTTTATTAACACTGGAGGAAGAAACAAACTTGCAAAACCTCTCCTGAGCACTGACAAACACACACTGAGGTATGCTTGTTTTTAACAAAACTGTTTAACAAGCTATCAACTAGTGCCTCTGTTTTTATATTTTTTTGTTATCTCTTCAAGACACACACCACTGACACCGCAGGCTGCTTCTCCTCCCCCGCCCCCAACCCCAGACCAGAGCCACTGACCTGGTAGCACACACAGCCATATGGTACGGCCAGGACGAGGCTCCATACGTAATTAGGGGGATGGTGCCGGACACTTGGCTCTGCTGCTGTTTAGGTTAAGCAGCATGTTTTCCTTTCCTCTCCTGGACATCGTTAAACGGTTTATCCAAATTCACAGGTACGTGGGTTTTCTCTTAAGATGGCTCCTGTGACTGATGGGGAAGGAAAGGTTGTGCTATGTTCTTACACTCCTGCTCTCTCATTTTTAATGAGCAGGTTGATTGTTTGTTATAGTCTCGACCCACAATGGCCACGTTTGGGGAGTACACAGAGGGCTCTACAAATAAACAGACTGTCACAAACACACACACACACACACACACACTGCCATTTTCACCTTTGCCCCTGAGCCTTTATCTCTCTTGTGCAGAAATGTTAGTTTTGGCACAGAAGTATGAGACTTTAAATGAAGGTGTTTGATGCTGCCAGTAGCTTCTTTCCTTCAATATATTAGTAAAAGAAAGAATCAGAAATTATGGGAGGTGACTATCTTGACACAACATTGCATCAGCTTCTAATCTTCCACATCCTGCGCCCTTGATTGAACACATTTTTTATAAATACAGTCTTGCCACTCAAGCATTTTGAATTTCTTTTTAAGACACAGAGAGCTTTGCTCTTGGCCGCTGCTGTCCATCGCTGCCTCAACCCCTCTTTGACAAGGAGATGAGGAGGGGGGGAGGAGGAGAGAGAGGCCACAAAAAGCTGCGCGTGTGTGAGAAAGAGAGAGAGAGAGAGAGAGAGAGAGGAGGAGAAAGAGGGGGTTGGCTTTAGTGTGATGTGAATGGAATAGAATCAGCACGAGAGAGAGAAAGAGGGAGGAGGACGGCACAAATCAACCTGCCTCTTGACTTTAACAACAGAATAGAGTAGCCTGTAGACACAGAGATCGGGAAGTGTGCGCGTCTTCGGTTGCTTTATTTTTATTTTTGGAGAGAGGAAGAGAACGGCAGACAGGAGGAACTGAGGGAGGAGGAGAAAGAGCCTCACCGTGGAGATAGATAGCAGAAAAATGCTGTCATGGGGAGAGAAGGGGAGGGAGTCGACAGAGAGGAACAGGATGAAACAAGGCAGGGTCGAGCAGAGCTGAAATGTGGAGGTAAGCCTTTTTCTTTCTGTGTTGAGATCGCGGAGGATTCACATTCCAGCCTCCCTGTGTCCTCTTTCTGATGATAATGAATTCAGATGGATGGATCTGCACACCGTGTATGCCACCTACCTCTGTATAGGCATGCTCTTATACTCACACAATCCAACCAGAGACAATGTATGAGAGCATGGAGGATATGAAATAATGTCTTGGCATAATCATATCACCTCCCAGCTTGCCCTCCCTCTGCCTCTCTACCCATTGTGTGGTTGTCAGCTAAGGTGCCCTTTTAGTACCATTTACACTCGACATTGTAGGTTTGAATCCAGCTCCCAACCTTTGTCGCATTTCATCCCCGGCCTTCTCCCCTCCTCCTCCTCCCCTCCTCCTCCTCTACGGACACTAACCCCCCCCCCCCCATCATCATTCTTTCCTGTCTCTATCCATTGTGCACGCTCCAATGAGGCACTGTTATCTTAAAAACAGCAGTATGAAATTGTCAAGAAGCCACAGCGAAACCTTGCTGTGGAGCGCTTGTGGCTGCAGGACTCAGAGATGAGGACAAGGTGGAGGGTGGAGGGAGGAGAGGAAGGGGAGGGAGGGAGGTATGGATGGAGGGACATTGAGAGAATGAAAGAGACCGAGAGAAAGAAGATGCAGGAACAAAAAGAGGAGCAGGATGTCTTTTCTAGATACATATTTTCAGAGGGAAAAAAAGGCATCAGTCTCTGTGCAGGGGATCTTTGTGGATAAGGAGCATTGTAACACTACTGCATGTGGTGTGCACAAACAATGATGGAATGGAGAACCACAACCGGAATTGGGGTGTTGTTTTCAAGGTGGCAGAGAAAATGAGGGATGCGGGAGGCAGCCCCCACCTCTCCACCACCACCACCACCACCCTCCTCACCACCCTCTGCACTCTCTAATTTAGGATGGGGCTGTGTGTTTACGAGACATTAGGGTTTCAGGGGGATAAGGCAGCTGAAGGGAAAGAAAGGCATGGATGGCGTGCTGGGGGTGGGGGGGGTTGGAGAGACAGGCAGCAGCAGCTTACATAAGCCAGTGCACTCAAAGGACGAGCCATTTAATTTACATTGAGCCGCATGGCTCCTCATGCAATGTGGTATTCACTGTGGTTGACATTAGCATTTAAAAAAAATAAAATGCAGTTCAGCCTGACATGACGGAAGGATGTGTGATGACTGAATGTGACTTGATGGCATTGTGTTTGTGCCCCTGGCCAGACTGGCAGGAGGGTGGGATGTTTTTCATAAGGGTCAACTTTGAATGCAGGATTGTTAGGGGTGTGTGTGTGTGTGTGTGTGTGTGTGTGTGTGTTTACCTACCACCTTGTTTACCTACAGTTATTCTTCATGCGAAATGATAAGTATGTCTGCATTAAGTGCACTGACATAGCGGTGCTAACAGTATGCAGCCTATTCAACCAACTCAGCTGCTGTGCACTTTTGTTCCTCTGGCATCCTATTCTGCACTGCATGTACAGTGTATATATCAAAATAGTCAAACAGTATATTTAGCAAACACAAACACCAGCAGCACATTAAACCAGAGCACTTCTGTATCATTTGATAGAGCAGGTGCACAGACCCATATTTTATTTAAAAGCCTGCAAATATCAAAATACCTGAAGCCATTGTGCTCGAAGTAGTCCATAATTTGCTTTCTTTACCATGAAAAATGTGGTGGTAGATTTATCTCCTCTCTCTCCCGAAGACACGTTTTCTAAGTCAAACTGATGGAAATTCACTCTGTTGGTAAAGTAGTTTAGCAATTAGCGCCAGTTGGTTTTCATTATTGTCCATAACCAAATCACCTCAATTACATGTATGACAATTACATGTCTGCCTGCGATTATTAAGGAATCACAGCTTTGTATGTGATTAGTGAGGAGAGGTAAGACACGTTTGCACTATGGCTGCAACTAATGATTTAATTTTAGAATTTTTATTATGGATTCATTGTTGGGCTGCTGAAATCCTCATTTCACAGAACGTAAACCTGGCATATTCAAATTACTTGTTTTTTCCCGATCAGCAGTCTAAAACCTAAAGGTTTCTCACCTACTATCACAGAAAACAAAGAAAACTATTAAGAAGTTTAGAAGTTGATAAATGACTTAAACAATTTGTCAGTTATCAAAATAGTTGCAATCTGTGATATCCAAGATAGGAGCACATTCTGATCTGGTCTGGACACATTTGACGCACTTGACACATGGCGATCAGTTCTCATGAATGTATTTGGACTCAGTCTGTTGTTCTTCAGTCCGGCAGCAGTCGCACTGTAGGTGAGACAGTTATTTGACACGTTCAATATGTGAAACTCGGAACAAATCCAAAAAGACTTCTGTAAATTGAAACTAGAGTTTTTTTGTTGTTGTCCAAGCTTGTAGATCTAACCTAGAATAGCCACAATCAAACAATAGCATAAATGCAAAAGGGTTCTGTTGTGTTTTTTTTGTAGTTTGCAACTTAGGGGTGTCTTTTCCTGTGAGAGGGTTCTTCTGTGGGACTTGTGCTATTCCAGGGTGAGTAGGAGGGGAGGAGAGTCAGAGGAGACTCTTGAAAACGATCGGCCTACTTTTATTTCGTGCACCAAACGAGCCAAGAGAGCTTGACTGTCATGTTGTGGATTCAGGTTTGGTTATTATTTTCTAGCAGAGAGGTAATGCCATTAAAATAATCCCTAAATGCTCCCTCGGTCTCTGTTTATGCCAACCATAACCTCTGACAGAAACCATCATCATTGTAACTATTAAGAGATACAAAGAATTTTAGAAGCAAGCCATGTTGTCCTTTTAAATGCAGGTGGAGAAGGGAATAACCTTTATGTGCTTTACACTGAATAATGATGATGACAGTTTGTTAAGACTGAGTCACTGTCAGGGCTGTTAGATTCAAGCCAATGTCTCCTGGTGCTGTTTTTCTGCCAGGATTTAAACTTTAGCTCGCATTGTTTGTCCTGAATCTGTACAGAATGATACAGTGACTGCTAAAATGACTCTGTGTCCACTGAGCATCAGCTTCAGCAAATAGCTGACAACAGTCAACAATTCACTTGACAATACTAGGAAAATGCAGGCTCCAAAAAAGCTCTTCCTGAAGGTACTTCCAGTTTTCCATGTATGTATATTTGTTGTACAGGTAATCCAAAATCAAGCACATATGTGAGCAAAGTGATTTTCATCCATTTGGCACTCAGCCATTGAGACTAAGATGAACATGTTGCAAGGTTACCAGGCAGATTTTGTTCTGGTCTGAGTCAGCTTCGTATCATTCTTCTCATTTGGAACCATTTTGCATGGCTACACCCTGGCAGGCTCCCTGTGGGGGCTCAGCTAGGAAGGCAGTTGGACAGGCGGAGCATTATACTCGTCGGATGGCAGAATGCTGGCAATGTAAGCCACCGGGAGGATCCTCTCGGCTTGTGCTCTCTGTTGTCACCTGTCCCCCGTTGGCTGCTGGTCTTAATGGAAGATCAGGCCTCATTAGTTTTGTCCGAGGCTGTTGACCTTTTTAGCCATCCAGTAGCACAATCAGGAAAGAGCAGAACATTTTCAAGAGAATAGTAATATTAGTTTAACAAATATTCAGTGAGATCTGTATCATTTGGTGAGTCATTTCTAAATAGCTACAGAGTCGGTTTTTTAAAATATATCAATTAAAGAAAAAATGTCCCTGAATGATTTTACACCCACTGTCTACACAAAACAATTCTGTGAGATGTTGAAAATGACACAAAGTAGGCTACAGAATAATAGCCTTTAATAGCCCTTTCGAAACCCCTCACAAAATCCGTTGGCTGTGCGAGAAGTCAGGGATGAACAAAGAAATAGGTGCTTGACGTACAAAGAACATAATCATTATTGATGAATGATGTTTTAGACCTATTTTAATAAGTTATGTTGTTAACATTTTGATAATTATTGTACTTTCTATGGAGAGAGAAAGAGGGAGAATAAGATATTGAGCCAGTAATTTCTAACAACCAAACACTGATACAATAGTGCTAAAATGTGTGGATGCTGCTGCCTGCATGAGACATAACATAAGCATCTGTTGTGAATACCTCCGTTTCTTTCTGTTATATTGAGACGTGTAAAAATTCCTCAACAGCGTGTCTATGTTGTAAAAATCGTAAAAGTACTTTGGAGCTTATTGTCCCTTTCAGTTTCACCATATATACATTAAACCATTATGCAGTGCAGTGGCTCCTTCTCATTGTTCATGTTGCTATTACAGGAGAAGTGCACTCAAGGATATTCAGAGCCACTGAAAGCAGACCGGGACCGACCATTCAGGCTCGCACCACGTCATTTCATCGTTGTACTTGGCAGATAGAGATCAAAAAGGCAGAAAACATCCCACACTGAGATGAGTGTAAAAATACTCTCATGAAAGACTATTCTATTCTTGGGCCAATGCATGAAATATTAGAGATTATCAACGTATTTATTTCCGAAGGGCCTCTTTGTTCTGTCACAGCTATGAGGAGGAAGTTGCAAGCCCAACTGTTCCATTTACATGTTAAAGGCAACACTAATAAAGAAGTGAGAGCAGTTTGAGCACATCCCTTTCCGTGGTGTGCTGTCTGTCTACCCTAACAGTGCCAGTGACCACACACCAAAAACTGACTGAGAGATGTGACCTTAGTGGTATAGTAAGGAAAGATGGCTGGAGGGGTGAGGAGAGGAGAGGGGTGTCTCATGTTTGCTTTAAAATTAAGTTCTGTGACACTTCTCCTATTTGTTTCTTAATTTTAGTTAATGTGACACAAATATGTGCCTCACAATCACAACGGTTATATGTCAATGTTATACCTCAGCAAAGAAAAAGTAGCACCAGAAATAAAAACTTAATAACTGAACAGGTTCAGGCTCAGTGAATAATTCTATGCAAGAATTAGCGAACACTAGTAATTCACATAATGCTTAGCAGTCTCCTGGTGACGCACAATGTGTTTTCATTCACAAGTGTGAAGCCACA